ATGGGTGCTCAACTTCATAATGAAATTTTCAAATTAAAATGACAACCAGGCTTCATTCATAAGACTAATCATTTGAAGCACACGAGACAAGTATGTTTCCATTGACTCCGAGGCAAGGCTTGTAGATTTCATTAAAGGGCGGCCTTTGTCCGCACGCTGCGTGAACTAACAGACTTTATATTATATGATAAAGTCTGTTAGTTCACGCAGGGTAGATTTCCGTAGATTTGTGGCCATCGGTCAGTTGCGGGCTTCGGGCCGAATGGTGAAGTGAAACCTAGCTTTAAGCTTGAAATTGTCGGGGATCTCTCACAATTCGGGACGGATGATAGTGGTTGTGCTGGTGTCGCTGGTTGTAACACTGACGTCATATGCTGCTGGACTTTCAGTACTCTTTGTACTGACTGAAGCCACGGGTGGCCATCTTACCGTGCCGAATACAAACGTTGACTTGCACGCTGTCGCACCTATTGTTGGCACGAACGATTTTGGTGCGTTCGCGCGGTTACTCCCGTTAACACGAATAGGATGCGTGCGCATTACACTCGGGTACAGGAGTATACTCGCTCCCCCTCTAGCGAGAGTGTACTCTCGCTGACCCTTGGGTCGTACTTCAGCCGTTCGAGCGCTTAGGAGTATACCGGTACTCGTGTTAACGCGAGTAGCTCGCTCGAACGCACCCCCAGGTTCATAGTGGCGAGCAAGGCCTTTGCATTACCGTTGTATTTGGCACGGTAAGATGGCTGCCAGTGGCTTCAATGACCAAAGAGGGCTGATTACAGGCACTGAGAGCCCGAGACCCGATTTCACGAAACATTCCACAACGTTGTTGCGTGAATTACGCCTCATTTTACTGCGTGCGTTGCGCAACGAATTAAGAGCGATTTCACAAAACCTGTGATTTGACGTCCGTGGGTTGTGATGGTGGTGATGCTGTGATGTTTACGGTGATGCTGTCTAAGATGAAGTTGATACCATAGGTTTTTAATTCCAGTCAGTGTACACGTGCTTATCCTGATTTGTTTTATACTCGTTAATCTGACAATAGTTGCTCTAAGTACGTCCTAACGATGACTAAAGTATGTTCTACCCTTTTTTTCTAATTTGTTTTTTATTTCTTTTTTACCTCATAATCCAAGTGTTGTGATTATTCCCATTCAAGTTGTCACTTAAAATAGCCCTTCTCCACCACACGTAAACTGACAGTGATTTATAATTTACGATGTCACACCATTTTGAACCAGAGTTGGTTAAGTCGATGGAGAAAGGGCTTTAGTTTTACACGAGAGGAGTTTGGACACCATTCAAAAACGGTGGCTTCTTTGAACGCGCTTCAAGCCAACCAGTTCAAAGGTTTAAGCCACAGCATTGAAGAACATGGCGCATCGTGCTCATTCTACCAAGGTAATATATACTGGTCCAAAGTGGAAAATAAGCCATAAAATTTATTCTGTTAAGCGATTTGTCCCAGCTCGGTATAGGAGAGGAGACATGTATACCAAGAAAGCAGGGACTGTCTAACATGATCCAGTTGCAAAGAGGACGATAAAGAGATGAGGGTGCTATGGCGAACTGCTTTCTCCGTATACGCGGGGCGATAATGGACCCCCGTTTCCGCTGCCATACTATACCCCACGGCACTAGGGCTTCCCTACACCCCCCCCCCTTTCCGTGGCTGCATGAAATCTCGTCATTGCTAAGTGGCACCGACTTACAATATAATATTAATCATAACTGCGGCGGATCGGATGACGATCATTGATTATGATATTTTAAGTACGACCCCGAGAGGGGCATGGCGGGTGATGGCAGCGGCTTTGTCTCTGCAGAACCCGGGGGTGTAACGTCACTTAAGCAAGGAACCCCCATTGCTCGTGGCTGCGACGATGGGCAGACTTCATTCAGTCTTAAGCACCTTTGACACACTCGCGCGTAAGCCGTTAAAGAAAACGCCAGACACTACTAACATCACCAGTTTAATGTACCTGTTAACGTGAAGCTAATGCATAACCAGTGCAGGTATTTATGGCGCTCAAACATCAACAGTGATTACTGGTAATCACGGCAAAGCAGAAGACGAACGTCGAGGGTGATTAACAAGCAGAAATGTTATCGAAGAAGGCGAATGATAGCGGAAGTTTTATGCACCCTTTGTACATTAAGCATCCTGCATCTCGAACGTCAACTGCATGCATGCATATACGTTGTCTGCAAAATTAATAGACTATTAATAGACTGTTGACTTCGCATAGTCATGAAGAAAATCGAGTAGAGGAAAGTCTGGAAAATATCCCTTCCGAATTGCATAAAATTACCACATTCGCTGACTGTTTCCTCTGAAACTTAAAAAAAGAAATCGCGACGGCTTTGCCAAGGATTGGCAGTATTTTGACCAACAAGGCAATGACGATAAATAAATTGTCCCCAGTTGTTCAGAGTGGAGGTATGATCACATGATACAGTCCTCATTGTTGTGAAGTCAAGCACACTTTATCTACCATACCAGGCTCTTAACGCCCTTGTGTCCCGTCATGCGTTGCAGGCGCTTAAAGTGACGATAATGTGAGAAAATAATGAAGAAACAAGAACTTCTTCAAATACTCTCTCTGTTTGCAATTTCTTTGGTACTTCTTCAGAGCCTAATTTCAGCATTCTTTGTTTCACCTGTTGTTTCTTGTTAGTTATTGGGAACTACAAATTTACATTTTGTTTTCCATTAAACCGACACTCTTCAATGTTTCTCTAAGCTATAATAAATTACCGGTATCTCCCACAGAAGTATCGACGTTGCATCTTTAACGATGAGAAAATTAGTGGAAACTGATTTTTTTTTTTACTGGTGAAACAAAATTGTAATTTTCGTGGCCTTATCGCACAGCAATCTGCCAGCGTCGCAGTGGCGTTTCCCGCCTGATTCCTGGGGCAGTAAGGCCGGCTATTTTCATTGTCTTGTCACCGGGCCCCTACAGTCGCGACTTGCCGGTCCACGCGTCGCATCTTTGCCCGTCAAGTGACTCATCTGGACGGCATCAACCTTCTCCTCGTCCGCTGGGCCCCCAGGTGCGAGAAACTGATTGAAACTAATAGCCTTGACTTCCGCAGTTTGGGGAAGACTCCGGAATTTTTAATAAATTCACCTCTCCTACCCGATTTTTTTCTCTGTGGTCTGCACTCTTCGTAATTAGCGACGTCAAAGATCTGGAGCGGACGCGGGAACCTTTAAGGAGCCAATCGATCGAAGCCGATGAGGTAGACCGATCCTCACTGCTTTCTGACTTGTAAGCAAAGCATTATAACACCATAGCGTGGCCATCTCGAATGACAACGGCGTATAATCTTGTTAGAATCCTGCATGGATTGGGATTAATTTTGAGGAAGATATCTCAAGGAACTCTGAAGTTCCCCATTTTATTGTTCACCTGAAAACGAAAAACTTGGACGTCGGTGTCTTATGATACCAACATTTGCCGTATCACTCCATCGCGCGATCGGATGGTTCATTGAGCTGAACACCCAAACAGCATTCTGCCGAAATGATACAGGCAAAGAATTTTCAAATTCCCATGTGACCGTACGAAATGTGTTTAACATGCAGTTCCGCGGCGCAGCCCGCGAAGTAACTTCTTGTAACAACATGTCCTACTTTGAGCGATTTCGACAAATTAAGCATTACATTTCTTTGTACTATACAGCCAGAGATTCAACAGCTAAGCATCATCAAGAACACATCCGACTCTTGACTATAAATATTACCCTTCAGCCCCCTGTCGGTCAACCCCCAAAATATTGTTATTCTTTTGGGGAATGGAACTATGGAACATGTTTTCTTTCTTTCTTGCGGTACCCATCGTACCACTCTTCAAACTGAGCCTCCTTTCGTATTGTTTTGATTGGACTAGCCTACGGATGAGCCGGCGATTTAATTCGCCTGCTTTCTTTTTGGCCTGAGCACAAACTCTCAATTTAATTTGACTGATTGCTTGGCAAAGCGTCGCCTGTGATGCAAACGACGGAGATGTGGGATATGCCCCCCCCCCGTCAGATTCTGGAACACACCATCTTGATAAAAGTTACCCCAATAAAATTCCCCTTGAACCTCTCTTCCTGTTCGGTAGTGTTTTGCTGTTTTGTCACGTCGCACAAATTCACACCTTGTTGCTTGTTCCCCCGCATGTTCTCGTGTCCTTGCTTTTATCCAGGCTCCCGTTGCCTCTAACCTCATTCGCGGCAGTAGTTACATGGCTTTTTGTTTATATTTCGCTCCATGCCATGCTGGCGGTTACTACCGCGATATGGCGATCGCTTACCACTGGGCCAAGCACGTGCAGCGCGCCATAAGATCACATTAATATGATACGAATATTTCGTACATTATGCCTCTTCGTATTAACGGCACGCCACTTTGCGTGTGCTGTGTATGGGATAGCGCTAAACAAGGTGACCGCAGCGTAGTTATGAATGGAGGGGCAGATAGCCGGGCGATTATGACGATGCCATCAGGTCACGCCCCTGTCTTGCAGCTCACCAATCAAAGCCCGGTGTGATGACAGCTCTTGTTTGATTGGCGTGCACTCCTTGGTAGCAAGAATCTGCTTTTTCCTATGTTTTTTTTTCTTACGGCACGAGTGCCAACCAAAGGGAGTTTATGTCGAGAGACGAGGGGGTTTGAATTTGGCGAAAGAAAAAAAAGAACAAGAACCCAGATGACCACCCATGAATACCATCTGACCCAACGTATCATACTATCCGTTCACCACACCAGCAAGCCAGAAAATGAGCATTTTGGCTGCACACTTGAAGCGGGTGACGATTTTTTCCTCTTCCCTCCTGCACATTTTTTCCCTATTCTTTTAAACCGAATCACCGACGAAACGCAAGCACCGCGCGCCGTGCCTTTGCATATTTTGTGTGCTCGTGGAGGGGGCGATCGAGGGAACGTGTAGCGGGTAGTCAGGGATGTCGGGCAACTGTGCTTCACTCGGCTGGTAAGGGTTCGTGACTTCTCACGGTTTTGGGGACCGGCGCTGGCAAGGGTTTGCACACGTTTGGTCTGCGTGCTGTATCAATGCATGACACTCCATCGCAACTTATCTGGAAAACACTGGCCGGGGACACAGGCACCCCGGAAAAAGACAAAACAAAAAGGAAAGAAGCAGGGGGAAACTTGACCTGCACACGCTCGTACAACACATACTTATACATACTCACGACTTGTTTGCTGTTTGTTTTTTCGTGGCTGATTAGGTCGCGGACTACCCACATCGGTGATTTCTCGGACGAGCCAGAACTTCGGTAAGTACCAAAACCATTCTGAGCGTAATGCATCATATGCCGAAATCACGGGCACGACACGTCGACCGGTAGCGTTTAGCACTTGTACCTTAACCGTAAAGCAACATGACTTATGCCGGTCTGCATTATAGATCAAGGTTTTTGTGCCCTTTTGAACCATTTCTAATAGAACAATGTTTTGTAGATTGGAGTCCTTTGGTGTTCAGTCTGTAGCGTCAGTGTGGCGTCGCGAGTTGCTTAGGGTGTACTGGTGATGGGGCGTCAGGGGACGAAATCTGCTACGTCTGTTGGTGATTTATGTTATTCCAACTGCTATGCACTCATGACTTTGTGTTCCATTATTGGAATGGCATTGAAATGAACACCAAGCTTGTCAAGGGTACATGGATTCAGCGGAACCCTTGCTGCCGAAGTCAGATTCAACAGATGCTGACACCTTGCAGATCAGTGCCCTCGTTGAACGGGGAGAAAAGTACGGACGTTGGACGGACCAGGAGTTCGGAGATTGAAACTTGTTCTATGGGTGCATTTTAAATTGATGGTGTGGCCAAGGATGCATGTGGTTCCAATATTGGGATTAACCTAAGAGACGAGGCAGTGATGAAGATGGATGTACGTGGCTGAGGCCGCCATGCCCAAGTTGGGCCTTGTGTGGGCCGGTGTGTTGGAAGAGAAGACGGTAGTTAGGAAGGGTCCGATGCACCGTGATCTTCAGATTACTCGAACTCATGTCATCGGTAGGGAGAGTTTTCTTGCTGAACCATTGGCATCATGCTTAGAGTTAATTTTAAAGACTTATTTCGAGGATCAATTCCTAACAGTACGCTGAATGCTGAAGCCTTGCGATTATGCTAGCGCGTTATATTTGGACTTAACGTCGGTTAAATAAAAACAGACGCGCGGTGCAGTTACATGCGCTGGCATACGATGCCTATTCCATAATACATGATTCCCTCGGCCGAGAGCTTTTACCCAGTTCGGGACGGAAAGACGTTACGATTCTGCAGATGCTTTGGAGCCACCCTGATCCAATCAGAGCACCTTTGGAGGTAGGAAATGCGGAGTTGGAAACAGGAGCAGAAATAAAGAAAGAAAAAAGGGGGTCTACCCTGATTGACACATCAGAATTCAAGTTCGTGTATTTATAGATGGTGCTCCGCCATGCATGACGCAGTGTGCGCTTTGATTAATCCGGGGATCTGTGGTGTCCCGTGTGCCACGCACTCACACACACAGGCAGTAGTAAGCGCCGGCTTCACTCACTGTACGAACGGCGGCCTGGACGCCCGCCCGTTCCCTGTAGCTCCAGGAAGACAGCGTGGTCCTGCCCCGCTACCGTGGATGGAAGACTGTCCCACCCCGGACACACAAAACCAAAAACATCTTTGGGAAAATGACGGCATCCCGCTGACAAGACTTGGCAACATGCGCGGGTAATTTTTTTTGCCCCTATCCCGGCACCCTTCCTTGCCCCGATAAATGCGGGGAGAGGTCGCTTTTTTGTGCGGGCATAGGTCCAGCTGGATTTGTTTCATCTGCGAACAATTCAACTTGCAGGGAGGAATCAGAGCGTGTTACTGGGCCGACCAGACGGCACAGCCCCTGGGGTAGATCTGTGCGATCGCTGGCTGGGACGCACTGCCAAAAATATTGTACCGCTGGGCCTTGGACTGCGTGTCAGCGAGACTCGACAACACTGCGAAATGGAACTTCGCTATTGAAATCTTCATGCTGGAGATGTGCACATACGTTTTCACGTTGGGGAAAGAATTTCCACTGGTTCGACAAGAAAAAACTAAATCAACGCTGTAGCCAGATATATAGTTAGACGTCTTCAATGTCGGGACTCGAAGGCGAGTTAAGTTTTTCTATGTAAAATGTATTTCACAGGTCCTTGTACAAGACTTGTATGGAGGTACTGTACTGTTATAAGAACAACACCTAGGGCTGGCGCGTGTTAGTGATGTCAACTTTAGAAGTTGTCTCAATGTCACACTTGCAATTTTGACTGCGTAACTCCGTCGATTTTCACAAACTGTGACGGTTGGTTATCATGACTGGGCCCACGAACTAACCACGAGTCGGCAGCACGCTGTGGAAGGGGCGTAAAACACTTTTACTTTGAAAAACCCGTCACAATTCACCATTCACATCTGTGAGGAGAATAGTAATTCCAAACACTGGATATCTTAGAAGAGAGAAAAAAAATTAAAGTCCACGTGAATTTGGCAGGTTCGACAGCATGAAGGAGAAGTCCAAGAACGCCGCCCGGACCCGACGGGAGAAAGAAAACGCCGAGTTCTTCGAGCTAGCCAAGTTGTTGCCTCTACCGTCTGCCATTACAACCCAGCTGGACAAAGCCTCCATCATACGGCTAACTACCAGCTACCTCAAGATGAGGGCTCTCTTCCCCGAAGGTAAGTGCAAATTTATTGCTCTTTCTTAACCCCTTGTCATCACCATCTCTCCTAGATTAAAATACATGCTTTGTTAATTTGTTCTTTTACAAATGGCGACCGTAAGTTGTCGAGGACCTTTTTTATTTCCTTTCTGGAAATATCTGCCCCAAACAGCTGATTTTTGGGAAATGGTTTTCTGTAATGAAATGTTTAGTGCAACTAATATTATAATGTAGCTTCAATCGGATATTTCGCATTCACACGAATCATCGTTTCAAACGTTGAATGCGTTACTTCAATTTATGTCATAGTAGTAGATTCATAAGTACTAATTTAGGCTGTCAGACCTAACTGGAAATTCACAGTGACACCTCCAGTTTTCCATGAAGCAAGATAAACGTTTAATTTATGTGGAATTAGCCAACTTGTGTACTTTCATCGTATTCGACAAATTTCATTGATGCCTAAGTGGAAGCAATGTTGTTGTACAAAGCAAAACATGGATATATGAGGGTCTTTTCGACAATTCAAACACCAGAAATTGTCAATAGTTCTCTGCTTGAGAAGCAGGCAACTTAAACAAAATCTGAACGAAACTTCCATAGCCAAATGTAGTCTGTAGATTTATAGACCACTTTCATCAATCTCTCTGAAGATTTGACAGATACAGACGGCTGCAGGGTCAGGCTTTTCCTGGTCAAATAGAAAATTTAGGCGCCTGTTGAAGTTTTTGCCCAAAGTGTAGCCAGTAGTGAAGATCATTTATGAAACGCATCTAAAGAAATAACATCGAAGCTCTGCGTTTGACAATTCTCTTTTACATGCAAAATATACACTCACTCAATGCGACTCTAATTCAAGACAAATCTGGGACGTCACCGGGGAATACTCACTTACAGTGCTTAATTAAGTTTTTGACACACTGGCGATGCAACAAGTGTACACAAAATGTGCCACACTGGCTGGGGGGATCCTGGGTTTTGTCTTCCGGTCTGTCCACCTTTCGTTTACAACGTGTACGCGGCATTGTTATTCAAACCCCGCCATGTTTAGTCCGCACGGCTTCCGACAGAGTTGTTGATGGTGAAAATGGTCCCCGTGCAACCGGTGTGTATTGTGCGGCGGTGCGGCAAGCACTCCGGTTCACGCCGCGGCGTTAGGGCGAGGAGTCCCGGTAATGCCGTATTACTAGCCACTTACTCATAACACTTCTCGCCAGTAATTCCGTCAATTTGGAGAAGCTCGGATCTCATTAAGCGGTGTGTCATCGTCCAGGGCGCTCGGACGGGATATTACCCCAATCGGGGGGCGTTTTATTTTCTCGAGTGTTTTGTTCACGCAGTGGGTGTTCCAAGAGGGAACATGAATATTGAAAATAGATTTCTTTCTGTCAACTCTGATGCCACCTGGACAGAAGAATGTGCGTCTTTGTAGTCCTTATGGTTCGACTTTCATGAAGGAGATTCGATGATAACAGCAGGGGAAATCAAGACATTATCTCACCTAAGAATGTTTGTATATTACTGCCCTATCCGTTTCATAGCGGTCAAAATGTTTGGAAATTTTGGATTTAGTCAAAGTACATTTGTTTAAGCAATACTGAATAAAACGTCGTGTTCACATGTTTCTGCATCAAATTATTCACAGCGCCAGTGGTTACAGGAATCTGCACCATGGACAAATATAACTATTCCGCACCCACACGATGGAGCAAACATAGGTAATGTGATGTATGACAAACTGCTATGCAGGCCAGCAAGCGATCGTGGGTGCCAACGCGCTGTATAAACGCAAGAGCTTTATACTCCGACGGAGAACCACTTATGGTCTATCTGCTTACACTGGGTACTTGAGCCGAATTAAACATGACCTAATAGCGATAAAACTGCACAGCATAATAGCCCTCGTCCCGACGCGCACGGCACAATAAGCCATACATAGCCGAATAATGTTCCGCCTACCGTTTAAAATGTCGCCAGAATAGCTGGCACAATTTTCACGTGTTGAAGGATGTCTCTGCACGGTCAAGTATTAACAGATTTCTCGCAAAGGCGGGTAGATTTTCAAGTTCAATAGTCTGTCAGTCAGAAATTTTTTTATTTTTTGTTTGGGGGGAGGGGGTTTGGGATTGGCACTGAGTAGCAATGCCAAATTGTGTGTGTTATTAGGTTTAAATGAATGTCGTATATTACAAACTGGGCAGGCAGGCGCTTGCATCTTTGGTGTGTATTCTTGTTATTTACAAGCGACAGAGAATGCTTTTCCCTTGTCCGACTTAACGACAGGGAATCACATAACCGTTTAATCCAGAATGTGTGCCTAAATCTATCATTATTCTTGTTTTTGTTAATTTATTGTATCTCATTAGAATTAAGGGTGGTTTCCTGTTTGTTTTGAACTTTAGTCTGCTTAAGTTTTATGTTCACAGGTTTTACATTTTCTTTTGAAAACCCACACAATCAATTGGTCGAAGTACCTGACATTTGGTCCTGACGAAAATAACACGGAGAGCCGTTGTTGTGTATGTTGCTGTCCTCGTCAGCAATAACAAAAACAACAGTGTTTATGTTTTTGTGTGGCGTTCGCTGTGCGGGAAACGTGCATGCTATGATTGGCAGTTGTCGTGAGCGATCGTTATTTTAAACTCGATTCCAGCCGCTTATGAACATAATTACCCGGTTCATCCTAATGCCCTCAGTGATCTGCTAAACGCTGCTGTCGTGACCATCTCCCAGGTGTTCGCTCTGGCCCATTCAAAAAAGCCTTCACAGCGCTTATAGATAATCGTTTTGTTTTTACTTGTCTTTAACGGCCCAATACAGAGACATCCTTCTTTTTAAGAAGAAAAGAGCAGAGCTTTAATCGGATCAGGCCGGTATCACTCCCCGTCAGATGCCATTAAACCACGGCTGGACACACTGTGGTGAGCCCGGTGTTCGATCGGGGGGCCACTGTGAGCCTTTTCATAGGGGTTTTTATTTTTCCGCCTCTGCTGGGGCGGTCCCTTTTGGGGGCCAGCTAAGTCTAATTGAATTCTCGAGCCACTTATTGAGCCCCTATTAAAATTTCACACCTCGGACAATGAGGAAGGTGTGGGAAGCTTCAAGGAGGCCGTGAAATAGATTGGCAGGGGCTCACGGTACGTGTACATCTCCAGTAACTATCACATGTGTGTAGTCACCGAGGTGTAATTGATCCTATACATAGGGGCCCGGTTCACGACAATCAGCACTCTGTGTCTTGCAACAGAGCTTGGACCTTGTGAAGTTGTGCAGGCTTCTTGCAAGTTGTATGACTGGTGCCAGCACCGCAATCCAGACTTCAACGAGGATTTTGTTGTTGTTGTTTGTTGTTGTGGTTGTTATTGTGGTGGTGTTGTAGAAGTAGACCCCAGCATGTTGCATTTTGTTCAACGTGATTTTCAGGCCTTTCTTGTAACGCACACCGTACCAGAGAGACACGCACATGCAGACGTGGTGGTAACTGTTCAGTGCAAATGTGTGCAGTTATTTTCACCCCAAAGCTTGACCATGGAAATCTATTTTACACTTTATCCACGAGTTTAGGCAGTCGTTTTTAGTCTGTCTGATCTTGCGGTGAAATGAAAAGAGAGAGAGAGAAGCACCCGAAGGCACAGTTTGCATAATAATGCCTTTGCAGTGGCGTAACTGACTTGCCTGGTCGTCTTTATATCTGGTCTGTAAACGGCCGTCGTTTGTAAGAAATAGACACAGAATAGCGCCAAGATGAAAATCTGTGTGATACCGAAGGCAGCTTTAATTATGAACTCCCCCACTCAACAGACAGCCTGACAAAGGGACAAAGACAACCCGTCTTTTCTTCACACCCTTGTCAAATTCTCGGGCAAAGAATGGACACCAGTTAATCAAACACCGTTGGTGTAAGGATTCCCCTAAAGTTTTCACTGGCACAAAAGCCGGTGGTAATTTGGTTGCGCTAGCACAGGTGCGCGGATCTTTATATGCTCAACTTTTCCCCCCTCTCTTCCAAGGGATTGTCGTGCGAGTAGCGCGGGTGGCCCTGCAGGCTGACCCCCTTGAGGTGGGTCATATTTACCCGTCTGCGGGCTCACCGCGGCCCCGGCGTGTAGAGGGCTTCGCAGTACATGTATAGAGTACTGAATGTTGGGTCAGATCATTATATTCAAAAGGGGTCCAATTTTTGGGGTGTCCCCGTCACATGATTATACAAGAGTTATTAAGTAGTGTTATTCCCTATCAAACAAATAAAATTGTTTGAAGTCGAGTTCGATGACATTTCCATTTCAAATTACGCAGGTCCGGTGTAAAAGGGACACAAACAGTGTTGCACTTTTGGACCCCAAATTTACAGAAAAACTCAAGTCCAAAATCCATTAAACAACCATTACCTTGACATTCACGTTGCTTCCAATTTTACTTGACGTTGGGCTATAAAAAGTGCTGCTTTTGTTTAGTATATCGTGTCCACTTTTGCGCGACCTGTTTTCACTTGCCAATAGCCACCCTCGTACAATATTTTCATGCTCTTTTAGTTCAAATATAAATATCTATATTTCCCTTGTTTATTCCGATATAAAGAAACAAAGCATCCTAATTACTTTCGGGAACATAGCCAACTTGTTACTTTTTGAGTTTGGGTCACTTATTGTCTGTCAGGGGAATGTTCGGGAAATGTAATTAAAGTATAATTGTATTTAAATTATTTCATATTTTGAAGTATTTCATTTCAAAACAGCATGCCCCAGGCCTTTTGCTGCTGGCAACGCCCCGCTAAATCCCAAATCTGATTGCCACATTTGGAATGTTCTTCATGTCTTTTGTGCTCCGAATGTATTGCGAAGCGTCGCTTGCCGCCATTTTGATTTTAGATTACACGACCCTCTCCCACTGTCGCTAACCTCAATATGCCGCACGCGTCGCTGTATTTGCCTTTGCCCAGCCCCGTCGCGCGCGTCTGTCCTTCGCCTTTTTTTCTCTCTCTCTCTGTCGTCAGAATACGAAGCTTTGGTTTCTCGC